TTCTGGAGAAGGAACTCAGAGCCTTGCTTAGTCATAAATTTCTCTACTACTGAACTATATCCACAGCCTGTGTCTGAACATTTTTTAAAAACAATGTAACTAGTAGGCAGTTCTTCAATTACTGTTCTGCCCTCTGCTCATACCAAAGGGCACTAAATAAACTTGTTTTCCAACGTGGCTGAGCCATTTTGCATTCACCACTTATGTCAGAGCAGGACTGAAGATGAGTTGGGGGAGGAACATGGTCTTTTTAGGGGGTGCATGAATAGGATGGTGAGGCTGGGTATAGGGAATTCTAATTGAAGTTAGGGATACTCAGGTCTAGAGAAATCCCAGCACCATCCAGTTGTAGGATGCTGGACTTGTTGTTTCATATCTGTGGGATAGGTACCAGGCTGGGCTGCTGGAAAGGAATTCAGAACTCAAACAGGGAAAAGAAAGGGGAGGAGGAAACCTGACACAGGTTGTCACCTCTGGCCAGCCACAAGAAGACCCAACTCCAAGCACCCTGACCACAAAGACATTTAATTATGTCATGTAACAAGTCACCAACAAAAACATAGCCACAGCTTTTTTAAAAATAAGCACTGTGCCAGAATTATCCCGAAGCCTTATTACCCCAGGGCCACTCCAACTCCATAAACTGAGCTGAGGAAGGGATTTCCTGATACACACTGAGTTGTTGGCTTTTTGTTATATGAATTTTTTTTGAGAATTTCATATGTAAGTGCTGTATTTATATCATTTCCTCCCTTCCCCTCCTCCTTCCACTCTTATTTTTTTCTTTCTTTGTTTTTTGTTTTTGTTTTTGTTGTTGTTTTTAAGATAAGATCTCGTTATTTCAACCAGGCTGGCCTTGAACTCAGAGATCCTCCTGTCTCTGCCTCCAAAGTGCTGGGACAAAGGCATGTACCACCCCCCCCATCTTATTCATTAATTATTACTGCTACATATATAAATATAAATGTACAAATGTAACCTGCTGACACACTTTAGTGTTGCTCCTACGTGTGTGAGAGCTGACACTTGGGATTGAACAATCTGTTGGGCTCATGCCTGGAAAAGATTTCCTCTCTCAGCAACCATTAATTACCTGTAGCTCTTCACCTAGGGATGGGACCTTGTGAAATTTTCCTCATTCACACTGGCATGTTCACTGGTGTTGTCATTTTTCAGGCCTTAACTTAAGCAACCACACTGTTAAGATTCCGTGGACACGGCTTCCGGTCATATACAGAAGACATTATCTCACAGCAGACATGCTGGTCCTCTGCCTCTTCTGCAACGTTCCCTGGGCCTTTGTTTTAAGGGTTTTGCCTCAGGTAAGGAGAACACTCCTTCTCAAGAATCCTCTAGCAGATATCTGTTTACATCTCAAGTTCAAGGACTAGGACTGGACCACCTCCTCGCTCAGTGGGAACCATAGAAGTGAGACTTCTCTGCTTGCCTTAGACATATCACAAGTTACAAGGTGAGTGCAGAGTAGCCGCCATTTTCCCTGAGGAGCCCCTTCAAAGTTCACAGAGAGGGATTGGAGCCCACAGACCGTAAGTCCCTCACCCAAAGCCACGTATGTCTTCAAGGACCCCACTAGAGCCTCGTAAAGCCACTTCCTCCAGGGTGCCTCCACTATGTCCAGCTCTATGATTCCGCAGGGCGTGCACGAGGTATGGACAAGGTCAAGGCCCTTCAAGTAGATCCCTCCAGTGTCTCTCACTGGGCCTGTCTACAAAGCCCGTGGTAGGGAGAAGCACTCTGAGGTACTCACCAGAGCCTAGCAAGCAGGCTCATGGGAACCCACTGCCCAACAAAGTGTATCTCTAGCTTCCTAGTACCTGACCAAACTGCCTCATTACCCAGAGCTGAACTCATGCTTCTAGCGAGGTCTGTGTGCAGCCTCTCATGGCTCAGTTCTGCTACCAGCAAAGGAAATATTCAGGCTAGGAGTGTGTGAAGAGAAGAACATAGCAAACAATAGTCCCATGCCTACCCTGCCCATAACAGCCTTCTGTCTAGCCAACCAAGTACACTTCAGAAGTAAGCTGAGACAGGAGCCATGCCCACCTGCCTTCTTGCCTCCAGTGGATGAGAATATTTTATGAAAAACAAAAACTTTCACACTGGTTATTTTTGTCTGCTGTGTTCAGACTCTTGGAGAGTAAACAGCACACAGTTTAACTTCATGGGAGATACTGGAATATGTCTGCTGTCAGTTCCTCTGCCTCACAGAGAAGGAGTTGAAGAATCCATGGCTAGGCCTAGGCCCATTTTCAGTGACAAACAGTAAATGTTTATTTAGCCCAGACCTGGAGCAACCACCCACTCTGGAGTTTCCAAAGTCACTAAAAGCAAAAACTCCCTTTGTATGGAAGCCATGTTTGCACCTAAGGTCATTTAAAAGCCTTCATGAGCTTACTTTCTGGGTCAAACACCTACTTAACACTTGAGAGTGAGAGAGAACGGTGTTGGGAAGCGGCAGGACGTGTCGTTGTGCCCCAGGATACACCCGACTTCAGACTGCAGGAACTAGACAAGGCATTTGATCTCATCCATGTAAACATTTTATTCTTGGGCTGTTGAAACGGCTCAGTAGGTAAAAGCACTAGCCATGCAAGCCTGATAGTCAAGGTTCAATCCCACACAAAGGTGAAGAGACACCCCCACTCCTGAAAATTGTCCTCTAACCTCCATATTCACACTGCTGTCACATGTCCTCTCTCTCTCTCTCTCTCTCTCTCTCTCTCTCTCTCACACACACACACACACACACACACACACACACACACACGCACGCACGTGCACGTGAGTGGGGGAAGAGAGTGAGTGAGCACACAAAACACAAAGACGTTTTTAAAGTTTTATTCGCACTCAACTACATGAACTAAGAAACACGTGAAAGAAGTGGCCTGTTTCTTGTTTTCCTTCCCGCTCCAGCTTGACCCAGAGGAAACTGACACAGAAACCAGGTTTAAACTTTGCTTGCTGAAGTGTTTCTCAGAATAAGACTCCCCTTCTTCCAAGCTTGAAAACTCTGCATACAATGAAAGTATGCAGGCGGCATAGACACATGTACAGAGTGGAATTTTCCATTTATCGAGTAATAATCTTAACACCACTCTGGGGGCCAGCGTGCTTGTGGTAAGAGCTCAAGTTCAGCGTCAGCAAACCTGCCAGGCTTCTGTGGGAGACCCACAGCACTCAAGCTCTTCTGTTTATTTTTGGTGGGAGAGAGAGAGGAAATAAAGGGTGACTTTGAACCTGAGTGCCAGCACAAACTTTAAAAAGGAACTACATTGCCAAGTGCAGAGTATCCCTGCCTGGCTTCGGGTCTCTACCAAAGGCTGGAAACTTGGGCATGAGAAAGAACATGAAACACATATCTTCAAACCTTAATTTGACAGTTGACCACAACAGATGTCCCCCTCTCCCCCTCTTCTCTCTCTCTTCCCCCTCTCTCTTTCTCTCTCTCCCTCTGTTTTGTTTTTCAAGGCAGGGTTTCTCTGTGTAACAGCTCTGGTTGTCCTGAAACTTGTTTTGTAGACCAGGATGGCCTCGAACCCAGAGGTCCACCTGCTTCTGACACCCAAGTGCTGGGATTAAAGGCGTGTGCCCCCACTGTCAAACTCAGGTGTCCCTTTCTTCTGGTCCTGACCCTGTACTTCCAGGGAGCTCTGTACAGCTCCCTGAAGGCAGGAACTCAAGTGAAGCCACATCATTCCAACTCACTTCTTTCGAGCTACCCACTGATGCTACCACCAACTTAGCCTGAACCTTCTGTGCTGTGGTGTTTGAGGAGGTCACCTGGCCAGGAGTAGTGAGGCCAGAGCCCTAATTCTGACTGTTACATAGTCACTGTTTGACCTTCAAGAACTCATCTCTTCTTGGGGTCGTATTTTCTTCACCCATAAAGACTAGATGATCCCAAAGATTCCTCTCGTGACTGGCCTGTTTCACCCACACATTCACACATTCAATTCAACATTAATCCAAGCCAGAACCAAGTTCTGAGCATGCTGTGCCAGGCACAGAAAGTCATGTGACTGTGGCCTGCCACCTAAAGAAAGCTGATAGCATTAAGGATCCTATCTGCTTGCTTCCATGGACACTGGTGCAGGGTAGGAAAAACAAAACCAGCTCTCCCACCAGCCCAGCCAACAAACAGGTGTTTTCTGCCCCTAATCCTAGGTCACATCCTAGAAGAGCCCTTGTGGCATTTTCAACGTTTCAAGTTATTTCTTAAGGTTGTTGGTATTTGCATTTTAAATTGTCTTTTCCAGAAATGGGCAAAACTATCTCTTTCCCTCCAAATGCATCCTTTATTCTCCAGGGTTTTGCCAAAAAGAGAAAATGTTACTCATTTCAAAGAACTGCACATATTCTTGATGACAATATAAGCCCCCAGAAGATGAGCTTCAAGCAATCATGCCCACAGAAAGAATTTCTGGACCAATCCTCACTACCACCTAAGTAAACAGCTTACAGTCCCCGGTTTCTGAACACCTGTTGGACCTGCTCTTATTCTCCACCATTTACTACGGTGAGCTTTTCCCCTGAGCCTCAAAGTTTGTAGGAAGATTTCACCCTGTGGAAAGAACTCCGGAGCGCTGTGCCAACCAAAGTCACTGGGTCTCTATCTGGGCTTTGATGGGAGATAGCGCCTAACTTTGCCTTGCACAGCTCTTCTTGCTGATGACGCAGAAAGGCAAAGGGAAAGGGTGGTCTCGGACCTTAATCCCCGGTCCAGCCAAAGCTGCAGGTGGATACTTGCATCCCAGTAGCTCCATCGCGACCTGAGCCCACCGATCCTCATTACCACGAAGAAGGAAAACCAAGCCGGGTCACCGGTAGCGGTTCCCCACGCTCGGGCGAAGGCTAGCCCCAGCCACCGCCCCTCCCGGTCCCTCTCTGCACAGCCAGCCCCTCCACTCCCCCCACACACAGACACACCCGCCGCCCGCCCCCTCCCTTGCTGCCACCAATCAGCGGCTGGAGCGGCGCTCGCGGAGTCAGGTCGGCAGCCATTGAGCGCCAGGGCCCGAGGCGGCGCCTCACCCGCCCCCTCGCAGGATGCCAGGCGCCCCGCAGCTGGCGAGGTGGGCGCAGCGCGCGGGGCGCGGGGCTGGAGAGGAGCGCGCGCCCGCCTCCGCTCCGCCTCCGTCCGGGGGCGCGGGCACGGTGGCCCCGGCGGAGGATCGCAGGGGGCAGGGCCGAGACTGCGAGGAGGGGCACCGGGAAAGCGGGAGCGATAAAAGGAGGCAAGGCTGCCCCACCCCGAGGCAGGCCGGTGGGCAGGCTCTTGCGTCCCTTCCGTCCGGCCTGTGCCGGCGGCGGCGGGGAGGCGCGCAGCCTGCTGCCGGCCCATGGAGGCTTTCCCTTGGGCGCCACGCTCGCCCCGCCGCGCCCGCGCCCCCGCGCCTATGGCGCTCGTGCCCAGCGCCCGCTACATGAGCGCCCCGGGCCCGGTGCACCCGCAGCCCTTCAGCTCCTGGAACGACTACCTGGGGCTTGCCACGCTCATCACCAGGGCTGGAGACCGCGGTTCCCCGCCCTCCTCGTCCCACTGCTCCTCGCACGAAGAAGGGTCCGGGCCCTTGGCCGTGGGGCCCACGCTGGGGCCGACCGACGACGAGGACGACGACGATGGCGATGAGCCGGGGACCCGAGACCGCTACCTGGGCGGCGCGCTGGAACTGCGCGCGCTAGAGCTGTGCGCCGGTACCGCCGAGGCCGGGCTGCTGGAGGAGCGCTTCGCCGAGCTCAACCCGTTCGCAGGGCGCGCCGCCGCGGTGCTGCTGAGCTGCGCGCCCGCCGCCCCCGCCGCCCCCGCAGCCCCCGCGGCAGAGATGACGCCGCGCGAGGAGCCGGGCCCTGCGTGGGCGGCCGAGCCTCGCCTGCACGCGGCCTCCGGGGCGGCCGCTGCACGTCTGCTGAAACCGGAGCTGCAGGTGTGTGTGTTCTGCCGGAACAACAAGGAGGCGGTGGCGCTCTACACCACACACATCCTCAAGGGCCCCGACGGCCGAGTGCTGTGCCCGGTCCTGCGCCGCTACACGTGTCCCCTATGCGGTGCCAGCGGCGACAACGCACACACCATCAAGTATTGCCCGCTTTCCAAAGTGCCACCGCCCGCCGCCCGCCCGCCGCCGCGCAGCACCAGGGACAGCCTGCCCAGCAAGAAGATGCGCTAGAACCAGCCTGAAGCCATGGTCGCGCCTCCTTTCCCCTGTGGCTCAACTTGGGAAGTGGTCTTGGTTTTGCGGAAGCCGCCGGGGCGCAGCACTTTACAGGAGTGGTCGGGTCTCAGACGTTGAAATCTTGAATTTTGTCTCTAGTTTTAAAGCGCGCATCCAGAACCGTGAGAGCTGAGCGGGTATGCCATCGGCTTTAAGTGTGGCGACTGAGGCGTTTACTGTATACGTCGGCCTATTTTAGGTGCGCATCAGTATGAAATTGATTTTGGGTGTTTCGTTTTATGGAGGCACTTTATTAGGTCTAGAGTATTTTCATAGCCTCTGAACTTTAGTGTGTATAATAACTAAGCATTTTATGGAATGTCGGCAAATGTCTATTTTATTGTTTGATGCAATTTATTAATTTAAATTTGTCCTTATTCTACTTGCAGGTAAAGCAATTTAGTATACTTCCCAGTACTAATTTGAGAGGGTGTTCCTCCTCATGGTTTGTTTCTGTCCTAGCTGGGAGACTTCAAGGCACAATCTGTAGCGGGTAGAATAGTTCCTTAACCTTTTATGTATCAGATATTCTACTAAATTAGCAAATAGCCCTTCCCACTCTTAAAATTAACTGTGCCAAGTCCTAATCATATCGTGTACATATTTGGAAATGGTGCTGTTTAAGAGACTTGTGTATTTATACAGTGACAGTATATGAATACATTAACACCCCCCACCTTAACTCCTACTTAGCATTTTCTCTATGCACCATCCCGACATGGCCAATTGTTTATAATGTCTAATACTAAGATCAGAAAGGAGGAAACCCGAGAGCAGTGTTAAATCACCTTGGTGACTTAATTCCAGGCTTCCTAAATAGAAAATGGGAAACTGAAGCAATAATCTGAGTTCCAGAAGGTTCTACTCTGGGCTGCTGCCTTCAGATATACAGGTGTGCCAGAATAAACACTATTTTAAAAGGCTCTAATAATTGGGGTTGGGTACAAGTGTCATGACTTTGCTGGTGATGGTTCCAGAACTTAACCTTAAAGCAAAAGTTCCTAACTCCTTACCAGTACTCCAATAAATCCATCTCATTGAATGCTGGATGAACTATGGCACATATCATCAAGACAGAAGAGGCAAAGATGAAGGCAGACATAACACTAACCACAGTATCTGAAAATACCAGCCTAGCCATGAGTTAAAGTGTATAAAACTTCCAGTAGTCAAATCTAGCTAGAGTACTGGGAGTTAGGGACTGCATTTCACATTAAACCGCTAACTTCCATAACAAATTGGCTTTCCTTATAACAGGGTGATGTAAAAATACTGGATAGCTGTGCACCCTATTGGTAAAGGGGGGGAGGTGCATCATACTATATCCAAGGAGATAATACCTGGTTAGTTACAGCCCCACAGAATTGCAGACTCCACTTGACCTAGGCCTACACAAAGTAATAAAACCATGTAGTTCCTTGTCCTTTTGCTAGAAAATAAACCATTTGTTGTGGGATGAAGTTTTTCAAGTGAACATAAATTCACATTCTCTCCCCTAACTGGTCTACATTTTTGCAGTGAGCAATCTCAACAGCAAAATCAAGTCATTTGGCTCTTTGAATTGTGGTAGTTCCATCAGATAATTCCCAAGGTGTGGGATGAATACATGAGCTGAACCACTGATGACAGGAACCTAATGCCAACTTTTATTTTCTGACATCTTACCAGAACCAGGGATGTTAAGATTTGCATTCCTGTTCAATGGTATGGGGGCGGAGGTGTCGAGAAAATGCCCTCAAGCACCTGTAATAGAAAGCTACTAATAAAGTGCTATTAATAAGGAGCACCAAAACCTGAGTTCTAGCCCCATCATCCACATAAAAATGTGGGAATGGTGGAATGTTTATAATCCAGTGCTGGTGAGGCAGAGGCCAACCTGGCTAAATGGGTGAGCTTCAGGTCTGTGTGAAATACCCTTTCAAGTTAGGTCAGCTCATGAAGACTGCCATCTGAGGCTGACCTCCACGTACGTGCACATTTATCTGCAGTATGGGGCAAGACTCATAAGTCAAAGGTAGTTTGTGGCTATGGTCTCAACCTGTCGGAGGCTCATTGGCCAGGCAGTCTACCTCCAGTACTCCAAATTCAAAGAAATACTTTGTTTGAACTAAAACAAAACAAAAAAAGTAGAATGTGATTGAGGGCACCTGTTGACCTCTGGTCTCCATACACTTGCACAAAGAACATATACACACAAAAGTACAACATACCATGTTTTCTACCCTATACTGAATCCATTTACCAGCTAACATATTGAAAGGCCACAATATAAACAAAAAATATTGCTGGGTTCCTACTGCTAAGAGTTCTAGAGTTAACAAACAGCCCTTTTTTAAAAAATTCCTTGGAACCAGGCATTGTGGTATGTGTATATTTAATACCAGCACTCCTGAGGCAAGGGGGGGGTGGGGGAAAGAGTAATCCTTGGAATGCAATAACATGTAGGTTCTACAAAAATTGTTTACAGTAGAGAGCCAAGTTTAGGGCCAGGGATGTAGCTCAGTGGTAGAGCACTTGCCTAGAATGCACAAAACCTAAGATCAATACCCATTATTATAGGGAAGAAAATTAAACTTAAAACCCAAAGTTCAATATAAAACTGTGACCAGGTTGGCTTGTAAGAATGCACTGTGTAACTGGCTAAACCACAAAAGGTATATAGCTCTGTAACAGATTCTCCATGGGCAGGCGGCACAGGCTGTGTTATACTTTAGTCTTGTCTGTCCAAACTTGTTAATTCTATTTTTTTTCTTTTTTGTACTTTATTTTTTCCTACAAAGTCCTTTTCAGAAGTTAATCGTTTTGATTAGAACTTTTGTCAGATATATTAAACCAAAACCGTGTATTTCAAAACTATCAAAAATGCATTTCAGGTTAATTTTGTTGTCTAAGCCTCTTGGTGAGAACATTCCCTCCAGTGTCTCATAGTTCTATTATAACTTAGCAAAAAAATGTCTTGGGGGGGGGGGGGCTAGACGGACACACAAGTTTTTGAACCCTGGGTCTCACCAGAGAAAGCTGTTGAGAAAATCCAGTATCCTTCCACATCACCCAACAAAGTTCTGAGATTACTTGCCACATGGTAGTGGCAAGTACTTGATTATATCCCACACGTAGGTTCCAACCCCTTCCTGGCTGGCACTGTATAGACAAGTGTGATACAGATCTTCTGAGTGTAGTAGTGTCCTTCTTACCTTCAATTACAGCTATAGAAGCTGTAAGGTTCCACTGTTTACAACTGCCAAAGCCACAGGCTCACCTGGAGATTAATCGGCTTTCCTTTAACCTGTTTGATGTACGGAGAATGTGATGGTGGGCTCCCATAAGCTGGACCAACAAAGCAACAGCATCACATACTTCTCTGCCTTCCCTGTTCTGGGGGGGGGGGGTCTAGAAACCCAGCTGTGCTGCAATAGTAGGGGTCTGAAAGATAACCTTGAAAACTGTTCCCCTACCACGTGCATTCATCTAGCTGTAGCTGATTAAAAGAATCATTTGCTGGGGATTATCTATGGCATCACTTTAGTGTCTGGGTCACCTGTAAAAGCATACACAGTACGTGACTGCCTCAAGTATGACCAATGGGCTGTAACTACTTGTTAAGATTAAGTTCTTCCATGTTTGAAATTCAGTCCTTGATCAACACCATACAAAAGCACCTGATTAAGTAGAAAAGCATCAGTACTCCCCCTTCTGGCCTGACAGCCAGCCGTTAACAGTAGAAATTTTTAAACTACTACCTTGGTAAATTATAAAGCCATTATCCACTAAAAGTTTAACAAAAATCCCCTACAAATGAGTTGGATTCTTCCCCCTCCCCCCACCTAATTCCAAATGAAACCCAAGGAAGGTGGTAACTGGACAGTGTTTCCATAAAAGACAAGGGCAATTCACAAACTTGGTAGCTGCTACCATTTGCTTTTTGTGTTACTGTTAGGTTATTCTTTTGCTATGATACATTTTAACAGCACTGATAAAAATCCACAAAACCTCAACTGAATACAGACTATAGCACCATTAACAAATCAACACTAACACCAATTATGTAAGTATTTTATTTATCACTGAAGAAAAAACACAGCAGCAAGTTCTGTGTTGGCTTCAATAAGATCAAATGGTTACTCTTTAACACAGCTACTACACTCCAAAATTGAAGTCAACACAGTCATCACTACAAATTACTTGTTGAAATAATCTATCCTGAAGAAAATTAGGAAAAAGAATTTAAACAATTCCTCCAAACCACACGTTTATAAATATTGTCATATTTAAAAGGCTTGAAAGGCATGAATTAGTGGAAAGCAGTTTTCTTTTGGCAACAGAAAAAAAGAAACAGCAACAGTTTAGCAAATGCTCTAGGAACCCAGAGCTGTACTGTTCTGGATCTGCGCTTGAGCAGTGTTGTCATGATGACTACAAAATGCTTTATACTCACCTCTCTCAAGTAAAGTCTACAGAAAACCCCATTGCCACCAGTGTTTGCAATGTCTACTACACTGGTCAGAAGCTATAAACTGCCTAAATGTAGTTAATAGTAAATACCTAAGAAGGTATGTTCCCACTCACTAACGATGGGAAAGCTGTCAGACCCATTGGCTTAAAGGGTTTTCAAATATTTTAACAGAACCTTACCTTATTCCAAATTAATAGCTGGTATTTCAAAATCAAAACAAAAAGATCAATTGTATACCAAGATATAGGTGTTAACACCTGAAGGGTTCATTTTTATTTTTTTAGTTTTTCTTTAAACAAATGATTGATGAAATAATGCAACACCTTAAATTCCAGAAAATGGAATGGTTTTTCAACCTCCTGTGAATACAGTGCATGATCAATCTATTATATATGATTAATACAAGTTCATGCTTTTTGTGTTATGGTGAGACAACATTAAAGAATTCAATTTAGACTGGGTGAAGCACAAGTATAATAATCCTTGAATGTGATCAAACCTATGTAGACACAAGTTTGACTCCATCATTGCTAGGACTCAACGTCGTACTGTGGTCCATCCATCTTCATCAGTTTCATTCTTAGTGCGACGAAGGGACTCCCTATCTTTCTCAGCTCTCCAGGATGCTTTCTCTTTCTCACCTTCTCGTTCTCTCTCTCTCTCTCTTGAAAGAGCTGGGGGAGGAACACGACGAGGTAGATCCCGTTCTTCAGTCCGGTCATCTTTCCTGTCATCAGCTCGCCTCCAAGAGCTTGCTATAAAAATTTAAAAAAGAAAAAAAATTAAATGTTAAGTTTGAACTATTTTACTGATTCAGAATAAGCAAGTGAAACTAAAGAAATGCTCGCTTTAAACTATGGAGAAAACAAT